ACTGTGAAAGCCCGCACCAACAGGCCTGTGCCTCTGCTGCGGTAATCCAGCAAGCAACTGGTACTCCAGGGTGGCATCTTCCTGATCAGGAGATGAGAGTAGAGCCAAACCCAGAGCAGTCAGGTGTACACCAGGCAGGAACTTCACAAAACATGTCAAGGTGTCTCTCACTTGGTGGCCGAACCAAACAGTGAGACTTCCAGTCAACACTCACGATCCTTAACATGGTCAGGCACTTAAGCCCATCTTCCGAGGTCCCACTCCACACAGATCCTCCAAACTTATGAAGAGGAGGCTGACATAGAATATGGAGGGGTCAGGGGACCACAAAGGCAAAACCGTCGGGCCGTTTTGTATATAGAGCACACCAAGACACAACATACCTTCCTGAACGTCTCATGTTACCGAAGGTTGTCAACCACTGCCTCAACTCACATTTACGTACACCCTGACCCTCGTCACACTTTTGGCTCTGACTCGACCCCTTCACAGTCAGATGGCTGGTAGAGAGTACTCAGGCTCGCTGAGAGTTCACCACTGCAAAAACAACAAGGTCAGCACAAGACAAACACTATGTACAAAGTACGCACCATGCATCTACATGAAACATCTAGAGAGAGCATCAGCAACCACATTCTCTGAGCCTTTTATATATTTGACTTCCAAATTAAAAGGCTGTAGGAACAAAGCCCATTTTAAGAGTCTGATTTTAGTCACTATACACAGGAACAGGATGAAGAGATCCTGAGACATGTACAAATGCTGAATAGCCAGCCCCAAAATGAAAATTTTCTTTCCTGTGGTAAAATGTTGACATTTAAACTTAGAAGGTTGTTCATAGATAGTAACAGTTCTGCAACCTCTAGCAGTACAACAACAACACCAAAGACATCTCTTTGCACCCAGGTTGGATACATCAAGTTTACACAAATACCATCACGTTCCATCTCACACACAAATTTTAAGCACACAATGAACACAATTTGCATTACACACATTAAAATGGTACTGGAACACAGGCCATGGAAATCACATCTTCCTGCCCTATGTTTTAGTTTATTTAAAATGTTTGCATCTCTTAGTGCATAAGTATCAATCTTTCTAATCCTGTAAACCTTAGTTGTTAAATGTACTTTGTGGTAGTCAGTGTTTATATAAAGCCCAGGGTGCCATCTAATTTGGGAACCATGAAGCATGGGAATGCCCACTGACTCTCACTAAGCACTACAAACTGGTGTTGGAAGAATTTCACTTCTTCCTCCATCTCCAATTTTTCATACAGATTTTTCCCACACAAAAATTGTTGAATTGGCTCACTTTCCTTAACAATTTCTTCATTGAGTTTCAACTTTTCCCCATTACTGACATCCCAAACTTTTATAAAGTTCCAAGGTGGCTGAGCCAACTCTCCAACATTTTTCTCATTAAACCCAAGCATGCATTTCCCAAAATCTTTTACACACATGTTATTTCTTAAATACGCTTTTGCAGCCCTTTCCATTCCATTAAAACATAGGTCTCTCTGAATTTTTGACACAACTTCAAACCCTTTGACCGGTTACTGTGTACATTATACTCATTCTTTTTCTGCTCAGGGGTGTGGGTTTTATATCTAACCCCTGGGAACTTTCCCCACAACATGTTCAGCTCACAGCAACATGCCATACAGATTTTCACATGAATTGGCTCCAGTATCAGCACTTCCTCTCCAGCCTCCAGAGTATCATGGTCCACATTATGGTCCCACATCATCATCCTGGTCTGGTTGATGAGCACGTTCACTGGTACCATCCACTCATACGAGCCAAACAGTATCTGAAACTGAAGAAAAAAGCTCCGAGGGGGGAGCATCACCATCCTCCCCAAGCCAATAGCTCAGAGATTCCAGAGTGCTTCCCCACTCAGCAAATACAAAGAAAGGGATCCTCTCATCCCAGTTGTTAGTATTGTCTATACCATAGGCTTGCATCATTGTCTTGAGGGTTTGATGTAATTTCTCTATTTCCCCTTGAGATGGAGAGTGATACACAGTTGAACACTGAGGCTCTACTTTTAGTCCCTTCAAAACATTTCTAAAAGACTTTGAGGTAAAGTTAGATCCTTGATCTGTTTGTGCTGCTTGAAGAAAACCAACATGACAAAAGAACTTCATCAAAACCCTTAAGACTACATGAGCAGTTATTTTATGCAGAGGGACTGCTTCCAGGTACCTGGTAGTGGAGCAAATTATTGTTAGTAAATAATTATTTCCCATTCTGGTCCTTGGGAGTGGGCCAACGACATCCACTACCAGCTTGCTGAAGGGTTCACCTGGTGCTGAAATCGGCTGAAGGGGAACAGGTTTAATACTTCGACTAGGTTTCCCTATAATTTGAAAGGCATGATAGGTCTCAATATGCTCTCTGACAGTCTCCCACAGCTGAGACCAGAAGAAATGCCTGGAAACCTTGGACATCACCACCTGGGGACAAAGCCCTTGTTCTCCTTCCATCGATACTGCAAACAGAGGTGAATTCTTTATAAGTGTTTCCTCCCTGAAATGAAAAACACTTATTTAAACTGTAAAATCTCTTCCTCAGCAACAGCGACATTTTCCTGCACAGAAATTAATTGCACCCTAGCAGGTGCAGCCTCTCTCACACTATTTAACTGATCCATTCTCCAATCATGCTCAGCTCTGGCTGGAACATCCTTTTCTTCAGTTGACTGCAGTTCAAACATCAGAAAGCAGAGTTACCAAACTTAAGCCCTCACCATCCTCATGAGAAATATCATGAAGACTGTTGGTAGCATGATCATGAGCCATACTTTTCATGGTGGAACCATCAGGGAGAAGGTCTGGCAGGGTTTTCCTAACCATTTCCTCCCAACATTTGGGACTTGGTTTCCCCCAAACTAGTTGTTCCTCACTGTCTAACAGGCCCATAACATTATTCCCTAATAAGAGGTCGACCACTTCGAAGGGAATTTCATCTGAGATACCTACAGGGAGATAGCCAACTTGGTATGTAGATTCTACCCATAATTTGTGTACCGGTGTCATTGGTATTCTCAATAAGCCACACCAACAACGGTGCTACAGCAGCAGCAGCAGCAGCTGACGGTGGTACAGCAGCAACAGAAGATGCTACAGCAGCAGCAGACGATGCTACAGCAGCAACTGACGATGTTACAGCAGCAGCAGATGATGCTACAGCAGCAGCAGCAGCTGACGGTGGTACAGCAGCAACAGACGATGCTACAGCAGCAACAGACGATGCTACAGCAGCAACAGACGATGCTACAGCAGCAACAGACGATGCTACAGCAGCAGCAGACGATGCTACAGCAGCAACTGACGATGTTACAGCAGCAGCAGACGATGCTACAGCAGCAGCAGCAGCAGACGATGCTACAGCAGCAGCAGCAGCAGACGATGCTACAGCAGCAGCAGCAGCTGACGGTGGTACAGCAGCAACAGACGATGCTACAGCAGCAACAGACGATGCTACAGCAGCAGCAGATGATGCTACAGCAGCAACTGACGATGTTACAGCAGCAGCAGACGATGCTACAGCAGCAGCAGCAGCAGACGATGCTACAGCAGCAGCAGCAGCTGACGGTGGTACAGCAGCAACAGACGATGCTACAGCAGCAACAGACGATGCTACAGCAGCAGCAGACGATGCTACAGCAGCAGCAGACGATGCTACAGCAGCAGCAGACGATGCTACAGCAGCAGCAGACGATGCTACAGCAGCAGCAGACGATGCTACAGCAGCAGCAGACGATGCTACAGCAGCAGCAGACGATGCTACAGCAGCAGGAGCAGCTGACGGTGGTACAGCAGCAGCAGCTGACAGTGCAGCAGCAGCTGACAGTGCAGCAGCAGCTGACGGTGATACAGCAGCAGCAGCAGCTGTACCACCAATAGTAGCGATGGTTGATTGGGGTTTATTATACAACCTGGCCAGCTCGGAGACACGCACTCCACTTTCATACTTATCAATGATCTTTTTTTCATCTCCATAGTAATTCTCACCCTTATTGCTGTAGGGTTGGCACTAGAAGCTTTCTTGGGGCCCATGGTCACTTATTTTCCAGAAAAAAAATCACCAAGAACACTGTAATAATACAAAATGTTCCGATTGTATGCTTGGATGTTACCGCGGAGGCTGGCTGGTAAACAATGCCACCGGCGGAACATGTGAGCGTGGCTCAGGCCGCACATTGGACGCGTCTCGGATGAAGGGCGCTGAGCGGGTTTTTGGGCGGTATGCGAGGCAAAATTTTAGCGATCAAAGCGTCCGGTATGCGGATTGTCCGTTATGCAAGGCGTCCGGTATGTGGGGGTCCACTGTATCTCCATGGAGAAGTGGAACAGAATTCTTCCTCAAGCCATGCGTGTCATAAGAGGCAACTAACATGCCGGGAGCAAGAGGCTAGTAACCCCCTTCTCCTGTATACGTACATTACTCAAGTTAAAAAGAGAAGCTTTTTTTTGGGGGGGGCCACCCTGCATTGGTGGGATATGGCCAGTTTGTTGAAAGATGTATTTGCAATACTGTATGTTCTATTTTCTAAATTATAATTACCATACATATTATAATTTTTCATTAGTAAACCCACAATTTAATGGCTCTTGATTTGATGGACTTTGGAAATATGGAATAAAATCTTCTGTATCAATTGATTTAAAAACAGAAGCTGAGGTCTGTTAATTACAGAATTGCTCATTATTGTAATAATCAATGCAAAACGATCTCATCTCTGTCCACATTTGCCATTACTGGTCACCTACTCGCCCATATTAATGCATTAAATCAAGGGTTTGATATATTTACTGAGTTAACTAGTTGATCAATACTATAGTCAGTGTTTAGCATTGCAGTACCATGTGAAGTACTTTGTTGATTACAATTAAATACTGTACCAAACTGTTTTATTTGTATGCCTATCACTGGAAAACTTTTTTTTTATATGAAAATTTTCTTTAATTCTCAGATCTTAAAATTATTTAGAGTATAGTACAGTATACAATAGATATTTTATTTGCACCATATGTGACCTTCAGAAGTTCATACTTGAAGCTCTTATCATTCATCATTTTATTTTCCCTTCTTTCAGTACTCCCCAAAGAAAAGCCAGCACTGGAGCGACTGGCAGCTTTGGTGCCATGTCACTTGAGTCTCTGCTTAAGTGCATTCAGGAGCTGGACATGGATGACACCCAACGCAGACGCATGGAGATATTCCTCGTCCAGAAGCAAAAGGTCAGCTGAAGTTGTTGGTGAACTGATAAAATTGATGGTTTGGCTTATTTCACTTCTGCAGTAGCCTTCAATTTCATCAGTTTAAGACTTGTACTGCAGCAAGAAAAAATTATGTATACAGTGGTCCCTCGCTTTTCGTAGTTCTCGGCAATCGTAAATTTCGCCAATCATAGGGGTATATTCGTATAAACATGGACTCGCTTTTCATTGGTTGACTCGCGAATAGTTGTTCATCCGGGACGCGTACGCACGGTGTGAGCCGGGGAGGCCTCCCTACCCAGCCAGTCTGGCATTGTTTACCAGTGAGTGAAGGTCCCCTTAAGTGCTCCTACGAAATATTTCATAATATTCCACTCATTTTAGTGCTTGCAAGTACATACTAAATAAGCTACCATGGCTCCAAAGAAAGCTCCTAGTGCCAAGCCTGTGGTAAAGAAGGTGAGAAATATGTACAGTGACAAAGTCTTGGGCCATTTTAGGGAAGTGTTAAAGAGACGCCAGAAACAGAGCTCTCTCCACAGTTACTTTGCGAGACAGGACTAGTGACTCTCAAGGTGGTCCTAGTGGCATTAAGAAACAGAGAAGAGAAGCAACCCCAGAGAAGCAATTGGTACCTGAGGTGTTGCTGGAAGGGGATTCCCCTTCCAAACTGTAAACAATCCAATCTCTCTCCTCCTCCTGTCTCCCATACACTAAGAAGAATCTCCAATAAAGGTAAGTATTATGCTGTTAATGTTTCATTCATCATTTCCCATTGTATTGTTTATGTACTACATGTATATTTCATGTAAAAATTTTCTTTGTTTTAATACTTCTGGGTGTCAGGAACGGATTAATTGTATTTACATTATTTCTTATGGGGAAAATTGATTCGCAAATCGTAAATTTCGTTTATAGTAGCTCCTCCAGGAACAGATTAATTACGAAAAACGAGGGACCACTGTATTACTACGTATTACCAAAATATCCATTTGGATTATTGATTGCCCTTAAAAATGTTTGCTGATCACAGCCACCTTCTCATAATACCCTTTCACTGTCTCCCTTGGAGCACCACGTTATTAATGCCAGGGTTTCTCACGTAAATCTATGCTTTAACCCTTAAACGGTCCAAACGTATATATACGTTCACCTGCGCAGCGCCCCGAATATTTTGAGAATTTTTTTTTTTATAGGATAAAAGAACATGTGGTGCCCAGGCATCCCCAGTTTTTTTCATATGGCTCACACTGAGTGTGCACACCCATTCTCTCATGTCTAGGCGACTCAGGCCTATCGTGCCAATGTTGAATGAATGACAAATGAAACGTATGTATACGTTTGGGGTGCTACGCGAGAGAACGTATATATACGTTTGGACCGTTTAAGGGTTAAGCACAGCACCCTCAGATATTCTGTGATCAGTAAATTTTGGCTTAGAAATTAGTGTGGGGGTCTGCAGTGTGTGCACTGTGTAAAAAGAAAATCCTGCCCAAGCAGTGCATGAGAGAACAGCAAACATTTGACTTTGTGTTTGGTTTAAAATAGCAGCTTTGCGGTGTTTTCTAGGATTGTTTTTATGGTTTTATTGGCCATTTGATAGAATGAAAGACATTCAGTGGAACCTCAACTTAGGAGTTTAATCTGTTCCGCGACCTAGCTTGTAACTCAATTTGCTCATACATTAAAACAATTTTCCTCATTTAAATTAATTCAAATGCCATTAATCCGTTCCAGCAGAATTCATGCTCTCGGGAGGCAGGACAAAATATTTCAGTATAATGCTAATATCAACTCTACGGCTTATAAAATAGGCCATAATATGACTTGTGGTGGTGGCCATTGCTGGTGCCGCACTGACCATATCTTCCCATTCTTCCCCTTCTGAAAACGGAGTGTTTGTGAGGCTAACAGCACTAGATCTCTAGTTTCATAAGGAAAACACTGAAACAATGTTCATTGGAACCTCCTCTAATGAGTGTAATCCGCTCCGTGACCTTGCTTGTATGTGGATTTGCTCATTTGCAGTCAATTTTCCTCATTTAAATTAATTGAATTGGAATTAATTCGTTTCAGTGGAATTCGAGGCACCATAAAATAATTCAATGATTTCCCTAATATCAACTCTACAGCTTATTTATCTATCACAATTAAATCTATTATGACATAATAAACAATATTAACCCTTTCAGGATCAAGAGGCCTTCTCCTAAACTTGTTCTCAGGGTCAAAAATTTTTTGAAAAAAAAAAAAAATTATTTCTTCTCATGAAATGATAGAGAATCTTTTCCCGATCATAATGACACCAAAAGTATGAAATTTGATGAAAAACTTATGGAATTATGCTCTCGCGAAGTTAGCGGTCTCACCAATGTTTACGCATTGGCGATTCCTCCCACTTTGAGCCCTATTTTTGGCCAATTCCTGTGTACTAGTCAACAAAAATCTTATTTATTTCGCTAGAACTCCCTTTTTTCTATCGAATGAGTACAAGAAACCACCCATTTACCAATTTCAACTATCCAATAAAGTGGTTAGAAATTGGCAATTTTGCCAATTTCACACAAATTTCTGAAGATGCCAATTTCCAAATAGGGTCCAGAATAAACAAGAAAGACATTCCTGGCACTAAAATAGCAAGTTTTCTGTTCTCTAGTTATGTCCCCAGGCCTCTCTTATATTTCTTTTGCTTTCCGCTTTGAATTTTTATTCTTGTAAAAAATAGAAGATTTACTGTTATGCAGACTACTGCATTAGTGTAGAAATGGTATAAATAATGTCAGTGCACTTGTAAAAGAATATTAGACTCGCCAGTTGATGTGTATTGGACGCTTGGCATGATTTGTTTACTTTTGAACTTTGGTAAAAATCGAACATTTCTGCTACTTTGAGTTCAATTTCAAGGTACTTTTCATTGTGAAACCAGTCAAAATCACCTCAATTTCTGTAATATGTCTTCCATTCTATAAAACGAGACTGGGAAAACTAGAATACAACCATAAATACCATATGAAAATACAGTGCAAAGTTGCTGTTTTAATCCCAAAACACGGTCAAGTTTTTTTTTTTTCTCATTACGCACTGTGTGCTGCAGGATTTGTTTTATTCTGTGCACACTGACCACATATACACATTCTTTCATATGTAGGCCTACCAGCTTTCTCTCGCTAGATTTGAAGGTGCTAGAATTTAGGCGTACTAGTACATGTACAGTGGTCCATCATCATTAATCCGTTCCTGGAAGTGCGACGATTATCGAAATAGACGATTTTCGAATAAATTTTCCCCATAACAAATAATGTAAATACAATTAATCTGTTCCTGACACCCAGAAGTATTAATTAAAACAAAATTTTTTTTACATGAAATGTAGATGTAGTACATAAACAATACAGTGGGACATGATGAATGAAACATTAACAGCATAACACTTACCTTTATTGGCAATTCTTCTTAGTGTATGGAAGACTGGAGGAGGAGAGAGATTGGATTAGTTACTGTTTGGAAGGGGAATCCCTTTCCATCAACACCTCAGGTGCCAAGTCCTTTTCTGGGGTTACTTCTCCTCTCTGTTTCTTAATGCCACTAGGACCAGCTTGAGAGTCACTGGAGTCCTGTCTCACAGAAAAAGTGTCCTGAGAGCTCTGTTTCTGGCGTCTCTTTAAAACTTCCCTAAAATGGGCCATGACTCTGTCACTGTACAAGTTGCCGATATGGCTTGCAACATCCTTCTCGGGGTGATGTTTCTCCATAAATCTTTCCATCCTACCCCACATTTCAAAAATCTTAATTTCTGAAGAAGGCACCTTCTTCCGTCTCTCTTCCTCCTCCTCCTCTGCAGCAAGATTCTGAGCTGCAATCTGTTGCTGTTCCTGGTGAAGCTTTTGCAACTCCTCAGTGGTTAGCTCTTCGTTGTGGTTCTTCAGCCTCTATGTACTCCTTAACCCTTTGACTGTCGAAGGGCCCAATCCTGAAGTTGCTCCTGGTGTCGCAAAATATTCGAAAAAAAAAAATTTATTTTTTCTTATGAAATGATAGAGAATCTTTTCCCGATTGTAAAGACACCAAAAAAACGAAATTTGATGGAAAACTGATGGAATTACGCTCTCGCGAAGTTAGCGACTTCGGCGATATTTAAAAATCGGCAATTTCGCCCACTTTGAGCCCTATTTTCGGCTAATTCCGTTATTCCAGTCAACCAAACTCATAACTATTTCTTCAGAACTCTATTTTTTCTATCGATTGAGCACAAGAAACTGCCCATTTACCGATTTCAACTACCCAATAACATGGTCAGAAATTTGCAATTTGGCCAATTTCACGAAAATTAAAAAATACGACAATTTCAAAATAAGGTCCAGAATGAACAATGCAGACATTCCTGGCTCTAAAATAAGATTTTCTTTGTTCATCAGTCATGTCTCCAGGTCCCTGTGATATTACTCTTGCTTTTTATTTTGAAATTTTATTCAAACAAAAAATAGAAGATTTACTGTTATGCAGACTACTGCAATACTGTAATAATTGTAAAAATTACATCAACCCATTCATGACTGCGTATTAGAATGGCTATTTGGACATTTATTGGACAATGACATCATTTGTTTACTTTTGAACATCGGCAAAAATCAAACATTTCCTGTACTTTGTGCTCCATTTCCAGGTTCTTTTTATAGTAAAATTAATCAAAATCACCTCCATTTCTATAATATAGTTTCCATTCTATCAAATGAGACCATGAAAACGAGAATACAACCACAAATACTATACGAAAATAGACCACAAAGTCGGCATTTTAATTAGAAAAAACGGTCGGAGTTTTTTTTTTCTCATTATGCACTGCGTGCTCCAGGATTTTTTTTATGTGGTGCACACTGACCACACAGACCCATTCTCTCACATGTGGGCCTACTAGCTTTCTCCTGCCTGATTTGAAGCCGCTAGAATTTATGAGTATATATACGTCAAACACGGTACCTCACAAACGTATATATACGGCCGCGACAGTCAAAGGGTTAAAT